AAATTTTTCGAGAAGTTTTTTTCGCAAAAAACTATGATATCATTAAAGATGTAAGTGTGAAAATAAACGACCTTCAATTCCGGGGTTATTTAGAGGATAAGGCTAAACTAGCCTCTAAAAAACTAGGGGTATTATACATAGTAAAGGCATTATAGTAAAGACACTGGTATATTTGCTTATATTATACAAAGCATAGATTAGTCTTCACATATAGAACTGTTCTCACCTGTGGTCTCGGTCGCCACAGGACCAATTTCTTCCACTTGACTCCAAACAAGGTAGGGCAGTTCGTATGGTCAACCATTCCATGATCACAGAAGGTCTAGAGTCCATAACCCTTCGAAGGTAAGTGACTTCCCTCTGTGTGTTCTATCATCTGTAGAACGTGGAATTTTCCGAGGAACTGTATATAGTACCATTGATAACATTTTACAATCGCACTTGTCGCTGTAGGGTTAAATTTTATCCACATCACTAGTTGCATTCAACGCATTCACATCACCCCTTGTGTTGCAAATGTCCATGGGCGACTGAAACTACTTCCCATCAGATGAGCCGTCTGTTCATTTGCCCCTTTGGGATATAAAAAAAGCTTATTTAAAAAAAAATATATTAATAAAAAGGACTTGAAACGTTTATTTAGTTTTTACTTTTTATTCTTGGTGAATCCTTACAGTTGATATTCATATTGTATTTAAAAGAAAATAAATCCAACATTAAAAATTTTAGTTAAAAAAATTGAATTAGAAAGATTAGAATTAGAAGATTAGAGAGAATAAAAATGAGGTCAAAAAGTTAACCACGCATTCCATTGTATTCCTAACATTACGCATTTTTACCATTACAGAAATATAGGATTTAAAGTGACGCCACATATTTTTTCTAATAATTCTTAGTAATTCCGTTAATTTAATACCCATATAATAGAAGTGTTTTAAATATAATTACTTCGCCATCTTAGAGGCACTACAATATTACATTCAAAAAGATATGTAATTCAACCATGTAGGTATTATTATCTAAATTAAAACTTGTTTAGAAAATTTAAGCTATATTTAAGCGATTGAAAATATCTGTTACAGAATCGATTTATATGATTTTCTTCCCAAACAAATTGCATATATACCAATATAATACACAAATTCCGAGTTATATAAATACTACATATAATAAACACCAGATCCTCTGTACTGACGCATTTAGTTTAATATATTTGCATTCAAAATGGAAAATATTTATTTTTTAATTTCAATTATTATTGTGGTACAAGTTTTAATTTACATATATTTCTTTCCCTGCTTTTATAACGAAGGAATGTAATATTCTTCTAATGTTTTGAAAAAACAAAGTACCTATGTACTAAACTACACCCCCTGGCTTAAATTTACGACCAACATTTACTCGTTAGTGGTATAAATATATATTAAAAACTTAATGAACACATTACTGCAACAACATGCTTGAATTGTATATGGGAGCTTTTATTTTTCTTATTTTGAGAGTTTTTATTTCCCAAGTTAAAAATTTTTGTTTTAATATTTTAAAACATATTAGCGGAGCAAGATTTTTTAAATGGGTCAACATAAAGGTCCTTATTATTTGTTATACCTCAGAAGTACTTCATTGACTTCACAGATAATATATATTTAGGTCAAGAGATAACTCCCTTGACCTAAATATTATATTATTTAACGCCTATTATTTATTCTATTATCTTCAGTTATTAAACACCAGACTTTAAATTATTATTTTGGAATTTCTTACAAGTAACAAGAAGTAGGCTAGTGTTAAATAAATATTTTTCAAGTTATATTTATGGACTCTATTTAAAATTAAAACAGTTTGAAATGAATTTTGTAATAACGTATGTATTTATAACAAATAGAAATCACTGTTCTTAGACTTGGCTTATAAGAAAGCTACATTATGTCCTATTAACTCTACTATGTGCTAAGTTGGCGTCGATAAACTAAATGCTTTGAAACTAATCTTTTCATTCATTTATCTTCACACATGAGGATAGAATCAAGTGGAGGTTAATAAAAAATCTAAATGAATAATAAACCAGTAAGTACTCTTCTGTATTTAGGGTAATGACGCAAAACTAGAAGTAAGAGTTCTAAGCTTTGAAGTCTATTATGAAGTATTTTTAGGTGAGAAGAGTTTTAAAAAACTTGAAATCCGTAGTGGAATCATTAATATTTTAAGGAAAAATCTCCACTCATATTATAAAGGTCATGCTTTTATGTAGCTTATACTTTCGTAGTTTATACTTAAAATCATGGCTAGCCCATCAAACTACTAGCATTAACATGAAACTAATGTTATATTGAAGTTTTAATAATTCCACATTATTCTCAACTTTTATTTCATTTTAGTTCCAAAATGGATACTTTGTTGTAACTTAAGTAAAGTGGCTGTAACTTATAATATTATAGACCTCGTCACCGTAGTGCCCTGCTATATAATTTATTGCTTTTTCTCAACTTAACGTCATATGGGATGCATAACATAAAGAGTGACGAATTTTAAATTTATATTGAATTTATAAAACTTTTAAATAAGAGTTGTTTAAAATATGAAAGATTAAAAAAGATTTATATGGATTTATAGCCATTAATTTACGAATATGAATGTGAGGCAGCCCTAATAGGTTCTTAGCCCTAATATGTAGAGAGAGGAACTGGGACAGTGGAGGTGAGCGTTTAAAGTGCGTTAGATAGGGACCCCTTAAACTTACACCTGAGTCGCAAGTTCCAGGCACTGTTGAAGCTCTCCCTATAACACGATAAACCCAGCACCCGCACGGTGATTCCATGGAATGCTGAGAGGTTTTGTCTCTAAAATCCTAAGTCTAATTTACTATAAACAGATTCCAAATTATTTATTTGTACTATAAATTTTATTTTGATTTGATCACGCTAACCATAGTATAGATATCTCAATTGTAAGAAGTATTAAACATCAAAATGTATTTTCATTTGATAACCTTAACGTGCTATAATTAAGACATTTCTTAAACAAGAGACTAAAGAAAATTTAATTTAATCATTAATACGAAACTCATATTTAGTAAATATGCAAAGTTCACGAGGATTAGCTCTCTCAGTCCAAATTTATACACATTATAATATACGATATGATTCCTATAAACGACACAAAATTCTGCTGAAGTATTATTACCTACAATCTTCTAGAAGAGCCGTTTCGTATTTTTTGTGTCAATCCAATTTCTTATACAATAAATCCAAGTAACATAACAGCCATAAAAATATTATGTACGTGAAGATACAGAAAATGAAAGATCATAATTTTGATAAATTCTTATCTGTCGGCACAACGACATTTAAATCCATTATAAGGGATAGTTGTTTCATAACTATTTTACTTTAGAGGATAGATGTGACATAAACAATGTCATGGCGTTAGTAATTTCATTAACAAATTTATTTGTTGTATAGATAATATAGATCTTTGTGTTATTTGTATTGAGGAACAGTAAATGTTAATTCGTCTCGTGATTTGTAATATGTGAAGGTAACTTATTCTGTAAATTTTATTAAAAAGAATAACCATTTTGAAATGAATGCTATTCAATTATGTTTTCTATAAAATAAGTTTAAGTAACAATATAAAGTTTAGATGGTTTAATAATAATTGATTACGATAACTTACATATGAAATGATTTCGATTATTTAAATTACTACGATTATTTATAGTAACTTATTATTTAAAATTAAAAGAGTAAATGTAATCACTCGACAAAAACCTTTTATATTCGGAGACGTTGGTGGTAGAAACATAGTAGTGTGAGAGCAAGAGGAATTATATTAAATTACTAAGTGTTAGTTATAGTTGACAATAAAGTGGTGCAAGTAAGTGTGAGTGCTTTATTGATGAAAATGGATAACCCGACAGTTGGAAATAGTGTTAGTGACGGCAGCATTGCTGACGTCACAGCTCTTAATAATTCAACTTGGACATGGTGCTTTGACATATCATAATAAAAGAAATCAAATATTCTAATTATATAAAAAATAAAAAAATTCAGATTCATTTAACTGAACAGTAAAACTATATTACGAGAAAAAACACTATAACTGTTGTAACCTCGTCAGAGGCATCCCCGCAATATTACTTATCACAAAAAATATATAATTATGGTTAAGAAGAAGGACCTCCTTTAGGTTTTTGAATTATTTAAGTAAACCAAAGTATAAAATAACCTTAATGAAATAAAGCTCACATTATAATAACATCACAACAACAATCGCGGTGTGTAGGAAGACTTGGACCTAGTTCAGGAAGAGCCTCTCTGGTTAGGAATAGTGAACTTAACTTTGACTGTATGCTCTCAAAGTAAAATAAAAATATATATTGTAAAAGAGGTGATCATAATTGCGTTTTCAAAAAAGGGATTATAGAGTGCTGACAGCACTAAAACGTTTTTCTACAGAGAATAACACACAATATACATAGTTAATAAAAATTTCAAACTTAATTGACCCTGGTCTACAAAAGTTGGTGAAAGTGATTCATGAATAATGGGCTACCGGCTAACATTTGTGTTTGTAGCTAGATATGCGTCATAACTTTTTTTGTATACTTCTAATTAAAATTGTGATGTATTAATATTTTTTCATCGTCAATGTCATCGACATTTGATCATCAACAAATATTTCATATATTTGTTTATATTTCATATCAGTTTATCCCAATGTTTCTAACCGTATGGGTTTGGACAAATATCTTTCCATATATTATACCAAAATAATAGTAACTCACAAAGTTTAACCCAAGTGAAAAGTCTATGTAACGGTATTTTTATCTAAAATAAAAATTCACTATGTACGCACACACTCACCCGCACTCACACACGCACACACACAAAACAATAAATAAACAAAACTAAAGTGTATTCCCTTTTTATTTCATGTAGTGTATTCTAATTTCCATCAAAAACATGACAAATCATATTATTTATAATGAGTTTGTTTTATCAACTTATAACGTTAAGTAGACGAAAATAAAATATCCACATAATACTACACCTTGACATTGTTTATTATATAACTTAAAACATATTATAAAATGGGTCTATCAAGAAATATTTATTACAATAATACAAATAATAAATCCATTGTGATATGTTTGTACTGGGTCTGAGGTTTCAACAGTTTAACAATATGAACATAATGTTTTGTTTTCACAACACCTCCAAGCTATCTTCTATATCATCTTTGCCAAGGCATTCCTCATCTATAAGTCTTTCGAAATCCCCTAAAGCATTTTCATTGGGTACTTTGTTCCAACGCGCATCAGGAATTCCGTTTGGTGGTAGAACAACGGATAAAATATTATCAATGAGATTAGACTTAAGAATCCTGTCATTAATTGTTGTGGCTGTCATAGATGGAGAGGCATTAACTTCTATAAGCCATGGTTTTAGGTTATTATCTATAATGATATCGTATCCGTAGCATTCAAAACAATGACGATCATTAGACATAATTGAAGCCACCGACTTAAGAGAATGAACTATTAACCATTGAATATCTTCGAATAGTCTTTTTGTTACCGCTTGACCTCTTGTTCCTTCTAAATATAATTTTAAATTATTTAGACTTAATTTACCGCCGGTATAACAATTATATTCCTCTCCATGTTTTTGAACGCTCACGTTAGTTAGATGAATAAACATGTTTTCAAGCTCAGCATCTCTGTACTTTAAGGAACAAACTCTGCAAAATCCATGTTTATACATATAAGCTTTTAAAGGACGGAATGATGTCACAAGGACGTATATCCTTAAATCAAATTTTTTTCCTCCAATCAAAAGCGGATTGTGAATGTAGCGTGATATTACATACGTGTCTTTCCTTAATAGATGATGTTGAAAGTATTTTTTGGATTCTCGAGCCCATTTTTTAAGTTTAGATAAATTATTTATTATAAAAATGCCAGCTCCTTGTGATTTTCCACAAGGTTTTAATATCCAGGTGTATTGGGGATTTCTACGATATTCTTCGATGAACAGTTTGTAATCCGAGGGCAAGATGTAAGTAGTCGGTATAAAATCTAAATGCACATATCTTGAGATCTTTTGGCCATTGTTAAGGGTTTTGTGTATTTTCTTAGCGATAGGATTTCCAGCTCTCTCTAATTCTTTCCTATATCGATTTATATTTCGAGCTAACAAATCTTTACGCACCAATTCATAATGATTTGGAAAATGATTTATGAGCTGGTTGTCCCTAAGCCGATATCCAATTTCATGGCTAAAAATATTTCGACAATTGAGAGTGTTTGACCAATAAATATTCCAATCTTCATCCGAAGAAACTTGCCTCCACCGTCGCCTCAAAAAAGTGTTAATAACAATCGATTTCTCAAAGTCAGTGCAAAAAGTTAATGTCTTTTTATTTCTCTTTGTTCCTTTATCATTCATATTGCAAAATGACACTAAAATTCTAAATAATGTTTTCAATAGAGTTTTAAGTAATAAACAACTATTTTACGTGATTTTCAAATATGTCATAAAAAATATTTAAGGAGGCCGTATATAATATTTATATATAAAATGATTGTATTGTAAATTTTCTTAAGATGCCATTATGGTAAACGTATACATGGTTATTTATATAATATATTCTATCAAAGTTAATTAATTCAAAAATTGCCGAGAAATTATAAAAAACAACTGCTATGATGAGAAAATATCTGTATCTTCCACTGATAACATACAATATTTAGACCATTCTTAAATAGTACATCTAGCCTGTTCAAATTCTTAATAGATCACCTTAATTACTCTTAATAGAAGTTAAAAAATATGCATTTTGCTGACATCATTCTCTTAATCCTATTTATTTTGTTTTACAAATTAAATTTTTCATAACAATGATTGAATTTATAATCGACTTATGTTTACGTTTATTGAACGTGAAATAAATGTCATGGAATAAAAAATTATGGGCCTTTTGTAAATAAGTTTATTCATTTGTGTATATTTATAAAATAAAGTCAATCAATAAGTCTAAAACCAAGTTTTATTTTAATATATGCTTACGAAAATTCTTTAAAGGTATAGCCTCCCTAATATTTTAGCGACCGAATTTAGCTGCATGAGAACAAAACTAAAGTGAAATGGATACAAATGTGAAATATTGAAACGACTTCAGCTGGTTCACGTGGTCTCTGTATCTGGAATAATTTGTCCAATTTTCGTCGGATTATTTACTATTACTTATTTTTATATTTTATTTAATAACATGAATTGTAGGCGAAAAAAAGTTTCAATTATTTATTCAAAATTTTCTTCATACGATTCATATACTATATACTATCATATGTTTTAATATACTTCATATTTTAGAAGCTGTTAAGAATTCAACGCATTATATTTCTCTAGTAATTTACTCTGAATATTTATGACACACTAGAAGACCTGGCGAACTTCGTATCGCCCTATAATCAAGAAATATCTATTACGTTTTTTTATTTATATTTTTGGAGTTTACCTGTAAGCCATAAATCTCCGTGTTTTGAAGTCCGACAGAATGATTGACATATTCGTTAGTTGTCAAATCTAATGTCAAAGAAAACATTTGTATGGGAAATATAAAAGGGATGTTTTTAGGGTTTTCCCGGAAATGAATCAATTTTTTCTCACCTTTTAAACCTTCCCTGAACCTCCACGAACATTTCAAGACTAAGATAAGATAAATCCGTTCAGCCGTTCTCGAGTTTTAGCGAGACTAAGGAACAGCAATCCATTTTTATATATATAGAAGATAGAAGATAGAAGATTAAAATACGAGAAATTGGTCCGACGATAGTTCCATAATTTTATAAAACAATACATCTATAAAATACTGTGGTACTTCAAAATTCCACGAAATATTTAAATAAATTTCCATTGCGTACCTTATAAAATATATATATGTTCATTTTAATAGACTTTGGCAATCTTGTAAACAAACATGATCAGCTGATATTGACAAAGATTTGTCTATGGCCCTAGTGATGCGAGTATTCTTCAAGATACTATAATCTTAATTATTGTATTAAAGTATTTATATAAAAAAATACTTCTATTTTTTCATATTTTGTTAAGTATTTATTAGGGAGCTTTTTTAATGAGTTTAGAAATGCTGAAAGCAAATGGGAAGAGTTGTTTGCTTCTAAATAGCACTGAAAATCCTTGGTTCCTTGGGAAATTAAGGACCCCAAAGACCATGCCATCAAGGTCATTAAGTATTACGAGATAACTAGCGATTTATTAAAAGTGTTTAATTTGAATTCTTTAGCGCTACCTATGCGTTCTGTCTGCTAAAAACAAAACAAAAGCAATTTGGATTGATTTTCTGATTTTCATCACAGCCTGTTGAATACACTATAGTGTTAAGTATAATCAAATCTTTTTAATATATGTGAGTTGGTTAAAGTTCAAATGATAATTATAATCAATTTCTTTATTTGAAAATGAAAGTCATGTCAGTTACACCACTTATAGGTTCAAGAACGGCTTTACTGCCTCTAAGGAGAAACAGAGTTCTCCCAGTCAGCTATACATTTCTAAGTTTGAAAGTAAAGTAAAGGAAGTCGCTTACAAAAACAAGTTCATTGTATAATTATTACGTACACCACTAATTTTTCAAAGACAAATAGACTTTGATGAGTAAAAATGATCGCGTCAATTTGACAAATGCAATGAATTTTCGTGTTCAAAATAATTTTATAAAAAAAACATATATTCACAGTTTTTTAATGATGACAAGATTGTTAAAAACAGTGGTGGGTTCATAGAAATGTAATTATTATCAGCACTGATATTCAATTCTACGTAATAACGGAGTAATCATGGTCAGCAGCTTTGTTTACAATATTGCCAATTTCTATTTCTATTATTATTAACTTGGGTCACATAACGTTAGTCACTTTGTTTTTATAAGTACAGTATATTTTTATTACACTTAATGTGTAAGAAAACATTTCAACGTAAAACAGACTAAAATAAAACGTTTTAGAGAAATATTTCATGTCCATAACATGAAGGTGATAAAACGGATAACTGGTTAAAGATAAATGTGAAAATATATTGTAATTAAAATTATATATTCTTTTTGTGCTAGTGGAAGAAGAAGTGTATATTTTTTTATAATACGAGTACTTCATCGGAACAAAGTATAAGTGTGTATGTTTTTTATCAAAATGTCATAATCTCAAGACTTTTATGATTTAACGTATTACTATGTATTAAATATTAGGAATATATAAATAAAATACTTCCCTTACAAGAAATGAGGTTGGTACGGGCTTATAAAATAGCCTTAAAAAAACTTCATTACAGACAAAAATTTCAAAAACCAATTTCAATCCCAATGCATATCAATGCAATTTCAATCAATGCATATAAGTTTGATTGTTATTAATAAAAAAAATTGATAATTCAATTTTACATCAGATCTCCTCACTGTCGTCTCAGGCAATAGTTAGTCAAAACAAGCGTTATCGTTCGACAGATTTATAAATGACATAGATTCAGGGTTGCAAACACAATATAAATGTATTTGAATATTTCTCTATTTAACATGTTTTTAACCATCCACAATTTACACATATTTCCAGTACAATGAACATTAAATAAAATATGCAATGAAATGAATCATAGAATATGACCCATATGTAATTATTACAGTTCAGAAACAAATTAAATAATACAAATTATAATGACGTGGTTTATGACTTATCGATAACAATGGGTAATGATACATAATTAATTAGGTTCTGAATATAAAATTTATCTATCAATATGTCATTAATGATTTATATTTATATTTCTACTATAATTTATTAACATGCTCTACACGGCACATTTTTAAAATAATATACTTGAAATGTTTACTTTGTTGAATATATAATTTTATTTAGTATATAGATATAAGGGAAATTTGTTAATCCGTCTAAGGAGAAATAATTTTGTTATCTATATGTAGTTTAGACTATACTCGTGTCTCTTGTCTATGCTCTCTGCTAACGTGTGAAGAATAAAGTTTCTAGTTTTGTTCACCAGAAAATCTCAATGTCATTTAATATAAGAAGAAACCTATACAAAACCTAAATAGTTGACAACTTTCACTAAACTCTAGAAGGTTGCATTGGGTATACGAATTACGCAAAAGTTTTGCTAAATAAAGAAGATGCAGCGAATAGTTAGGTACACCATCTGAGAGCATTATTTATTTATATACATTAAAATATTATTATAATCTTACTAAATGCCGACTTTCTGTATAAGGAAGACGTCATAAAGCCATTTTTTAGGTTTGGCTCATGGAACTCAGCTCATGAGACTTTATTAATTAATTAATTATTTAATCAAAGCTAGTAGGCGAATAGGATTACTTAATCCCTCCTTGAAAGTTAACCACAAAAAAGAGCTGCTTGGCAAATGACCACGTAAAAAACAAATGAGGAAAAAAGGAGTTTTTGATGAAAATATACTTAATTTAAGAAATAAAATATTTATAAAAATAATATATAAGAGCATTTAATTAATAACATTAATCAAAAGAGCTTATAAGAAATTTTACTCAACAAAAATAAAAAAAATACAAGGATTTTGTATATTAAAAAGCTACAATAATCAAAAACTATACCATTTTTTGAAATGTCATTATTAACAGTACCAAATATAGTCCTCGAACTCAAATCTAAAACCGTACCGGATGTGACGGGATCACTTGTAACGTTTAGAAACTTCTACCGTCATATATTTTCTCACTATTGGTTTTTAGATTCAACTCGCAATTCAATAAATAAGAGTTTATGGACAATGGAATGGGGTCATTATAATAGGTATATAAATATATAGCAACTAACTAACCACGAGAACTACAAAAGGTACCTGGCCAGGGGGATTAGTCTACTAAACGCTATTGAAAAAATTTAAGGGATGTTCATATTCATCAGACTAAAGTAGATAAAAATATGTTTAAATAATCCTTTAGAGTCAACCATTTGAGTGTTTATTCAATTCATAGCTTAACAGAATTCATCATAAAGTAATTACGTGGACAGCCTTATAAAATGGGTGACACTGCTTCGATATAGTGAAGAATTTTGACAATGTCTACCATATCATTTTAATTTAAAAGCTATTTGAACTAAAGGTATTTTTTATGTAAAAGGTGGCAAACGAGCCACAGCAGATTTAGTTGTTACCTCTGGCTCTTTATAAAAATAATATCTTCGGAGCAGTTTAAAAATAAATATATTAAAACTTCACTTAAAAAAGACCAATAACAATGAACAGTCAGCCTACTCGTTTGGAAACAAAGAGCCTAGTATGTAGGAGCCACTAGATAGTAATTAGAAACAGTATTAATTGCTGCCTTTGCCTCGTAACCTTAAGTAAAAGTAAAAACGTGACGCTATCAAATCCCA